ATAGGCACGATAGAAATAGTGACAGTGAAGGCGCGATAGGAGGATATAGGAAATGTGAATAGCCCAGGGCCGTAAGGAAGATACCACAGCTGTTTAGCACATGTTTGGTCAAAGGATCGGCTTCACTTGCCTTTTTGACAAGTTGTTATGTGGTGCTAAGAGTGGCGTGACTCACTGACGATGCCGACTACGATGCCGGCGAAATTTATGGGAATGTATCAGGTCCACGGGAATTATTATGCATACAATGGACTCCGGGCTAGGTGCGTTTCTCTAAGTCTTCCTACCAATATTACCAAGTTGCGAAAACAAGGTCAAACAACCTCTATATTTTGTAAAGCTTTTTCGTCTTTGTGAAACTTTTAAATTAGTCTCTTTTACTCCCTGATCCTCGGTTAATATATTTTTGGTAGAAATTACCTTTTAACGATATCTGTAACCATCATATTATGCAAGCCAAAGCCTTTGGTCCTATTCTGCACGTATAAATTCATATCAATTTTCCAACATTTCCCCCTTATTTCCTCTGAACGCTTACTTTACACTTTATGACCTTTATTTAACAAGTTGAGGATAACATTCAATATAAGATAAAATCATAATTCATTCTTCTTGCTGACGGCCCTTTTTACTCAAATGACTTAATTAAATTTAACCTAGAAGATTTTGACTTGTACGACCTCTGTTGAGTACTAATTCCGTATCCATATTATTAGTATGATGGATAAGGCTCATTTTTCCTTGTATTACTTTTTAATGCCGATTTCTTTTCCACTTTTACAGTGAGGTGGTCGTTTTGGTTTAGCTCTTAGCTGACAACCTTATTTTTCCATTGCATGTCCAGACGATTTCACTGGCTTAATCGTTTTCCTATTTTTAGCGAGACCTAGGCCCTATCGAAGAGGCGCTGAACGCTGTAGAGAAGTTAGTCGAGCGTCTCATCGAAGTTAACGAAGAAGTTGAGGAAGAAAACAACGTCAAAGCACTTACTCAATTGACTGGAATTCTCGGCTCCTCAATCACCTCACCTGTGTCTGGAGGGCTCATCAAACTTTTGGTTAGCTTCTGTTCTTTGCCTTATTATCAATCGACAGGTGTTTACGCTCCAAGTGGTAGCACAGATATTTCCGCATTGAAAGTCGATTTCTTTATTTGCTTGGTGAGAGTGCGTAGGCAGGCAACGAATTGGAATTCTATATTTTATATGATCATCACCTTTGCCTCAACTCATTACTTTAGATGGCCTATGTTGCTCTAGCTATAATCATTTAAGTAAAATTTATTTATGGGAGCTTAATGTTTAATATGGACACGTTATATGCGGCATATATTTTGAATTGGCTGTTTTTCTATCATGACTCAAGAAATCATTTATGACTTATTTGTTTTGGGTTTTTTGATGCCTAATTATCATTTGTTTATCAAACCTTTGTATTTATATTCGTCTATAAGTATTGCATCCACTTATATTATTATTTATTCTTATTAAATTTCGAATAGAAAATGCCACGATTCCTGTGGTTGAATAAATAAACATTTAAGTAATAAAATATGGCCCCAAAGATATATATATATATATAAATTAATAAGGTTGATTAAATACTAATTTTGATTCCGTCCTCCATTATTAATTTTATTAAAATATTTTAAATTTTATTTGTTAATCTGGAAAGACTGAAATAAAATCGGTTATTTCTTGGATTAATAAATTGGCGCCGTTAAAGTATTTCTTTTTTTATTAATCGCATCATAGTTTATCCCTTCCAAAACAATGAACTATGGCTAAGGCACTACTCCATTTTTTAATCATAGATAAATCCACTTTGGGTGCATTTTATAACTATAACCATGTGAAACAAAGAGCTTTCTGAAAAATAAATTTAACTAGTATTTGAGAACGAATTATAACTGCAGTATTATTCGATAAAATTACTTTTATACTAACATTTTATCATTGTTTCCTTGGCAGTAATTGATGAGCCTAGGCAAAGCCAAGACTGAATTTCACCTCGGACTAGAGGGCACTTCTAGGATTATCTGTAGAGTGAACGCATCTGCAGTAATCACTCTCTTCAGTCGTTTTTTTTTAATTTGATTTGTTATTTTCGACGTAACCATGTAAATACTTTATTCTAGCAACTTGGTTTCGAAACCTTTTCACATCGAAAATACCTCTGCCTAAATATATTGCAACAACTTTTCCCTGTACTTATTGTTCTGATACTTGATCCATTTATAATGTAGTATCCTTTTCTCATCCTATAATCGCTTTAACCTTCGGACTTTACTATTTACTTCATGGCTTCTTCACTTTTTCCTTACTTCTTCTATAAATATAGATTTTGTCTTACCTATTAGCATAATTCTAAAATTTATGAAATTAAAGATTGTAACTTACGTGCTAATCATTATAAACCTATTTTAGCTATCAAGGCATACTTAAATCCCATCTTTTTCCAGGATCTTACAGATATAAATCGAACTCACATCTTTGTTTTACTCACTACCGTAAACATACATTCTTATACTTTCGTTGTAAAGGAATCTCTGGAGCAGAAGGCTGATGATCCATCTGAAGAGGCCTTGCTGACTTGTCTATCAGGTCGCGTGCTTCAGCTGCTAGAGCTACAACTGGCCTGTCTTACTACTTGGCATCGCCTCGAACCTCCCCCAAGACCAGGTGGAAACCCGGTTGGCCCTATTTCCACTTCAGCAGTGGTGCCAGGCGAGACTGTAGTACCTACTGCTAATGTTGCGGGGCTGAGGCAGCAAGGGAAACCTGAAAGCTTATTTCAGGTTATAAATATTTTTGGGGCCTTGCTTGATTCACTCCTACCTTGTCTACATCTCATCATTATCCCAAGCAGACTTTGAGCAGTGGACCCTTGAGGGTTTCGTCTTTATAGACATTATTTTTTCTTTCATTTAGAATAGCTTTCGAATGCAACTCTTATTAAAGATTTATTGAGTTTTGAAACTTACAATAAGGGGGAATATAGGTTTTAATGGTTTTTATCATTAATATAATTTATATGACATTTTTTTGCATTTTAATAGGCGAAAATAATATGGCTTTTGTTTCAAACTAAATAGGCTGTATTAAGTCATTCTTGTGTTATTTTAGACTTATCCTTTTTCCTGTTCTCTCTGCCTTCTCTGCAGTTATATTCATGTTTTATGACATCAAACTTATGGTCTAGCAAATTCTCCGAACTTTTTTGCTTCGAGCCACGATTACCACCAAATTAAAATTCGCCCTAAAAAGCGAAGCAGATTCCGTAGATCATGTTGCTCCATCATCTTTACCATTCCTATGTATCCGTCTTTTATATCTCATTTTCACTTTATTTGGCCACAATTTATTTCTGCCTCTCATTTTCATGAATTATAGATATGTGCACCCTCGAGTTTATTGAAGTACAATGACCTTAATTGCTAACATAACTGATTTAAACTACTGCATTCATTTAGCCCTTCATGTTACTTAAATTATGTTAATTTCTTTCCTGCCTCTGTTTCTTACCTAACTGGTCCATATTCCACTTTTCTTAGCCATCGTATCCTTTCAGTATCGATGCCTTGTTCACATTGCCGGACAAACTATGCTTACTATAATCCCCATGATCGATCTGTGTATATTACCTTCCTCTATAGTGTGTTCACAAGTATTAAACTCTTGCGAACCGCATCCTAATTATTTTTTCCATAAATAAGAAAATTATGATTAAGCCATAATGTTTATAATACTATCTTTCATATGCCTTGTTCCCTCTGCTTTTTTTGTCGCTTTAACTAAAAACCCCTTCTTAGTAACTTTTTCTATTTGTTCTCTTTCCACTCTTTTATTCTCATATGTGCTTCTCTGCTTTATTTAGCCATTAATAATTGCATATTGCTTTCTGCATTGTTATATTTTCTAGTCAATTAAACCAGTAAGGACTATTAAAATTTATTAAATAATCACAATGCAGCGGTAGATAGAAGAAGTATTCAATTTAATTTTCCTTTGTTTAATATAACAAGCTAGAATTATTGGACAAACGGGAGCATTTTACCTCCACAGCATTACTCTTATTGATCGACCAATTACATTCTTGCATAGATAAGGAAGTTGCCAGTTTTGCTATCTTTATGGCCCATATACAGTTACTTTATAATAATATTAGCATTCTTCTTTAAAAAATCTGCATTCATTCTTCACCTTTTTATTTAGGCTACATTAGATGCCTATGAACAACTAACTCAGCAGATGAGCCTAAAATTTGGCTTTTCTGTGGACCATCTACGCGCCAGCCATCTGCGCTATGCCAGCGGACCTTTGCAGCCTGAACCTACCTCCGCATCTCAGACTGTCGAACCAGGACCTATTAGCAGGCAATCTCCTTTTTTACTCTTATTATCCTTTAAACTTTGCTATTATTCACCCGCTAAATAAAAATTGTGCTTTTTGATCGAAGACCACCTCTAAATTCTTTTAAGCAGGATATTTTCTTTTAATTTATATTTTACATTTATTTATTCGTTCATTTAATGGCCTAATTCGATTTGCGCAAACTAATATCCCAAGTGTCGTAATGGTTAATAATCATAGCATTAACTCTATTTCCACTGTTAAGGCTGATATATAATTAATTGAGTTCAATTCTTTAAAGGATCGGTAATTTGCAATTATAACCATCCTATCCATAAGCTTCGTTTTTATTAGATGCAAATTGAACAGATGGATAGAATATATGCACAATGGCACTGTGAGGCTGGTTTTATTCCTACTCATCATTTGATCTTTCCTCTACTTTCGGTCATCATAATATTGTCCTTTTATTAGTTGGAATCACAGCTACGCGAGGAGCAGCATTCTTCTAGTATTTACTTGCGCAGTTACTTACATGTCTTATAGGTTGGAGCAAAATCAACCGTAATTTCATAACAAGTTTGTTTGATTTTGTTTTCGCAACTTGATCGTATTTTCAGGGAGACGAAGAGGGACGCACCTTGTTCGGAGTCCATAGCATCCATGCTGATTTCATATTATTTGCATTTTTAGTATAAAATATGAGACGTTGATTTATCATAATTTTAGGCAATGATAACTGATTTTTTCCTATTCGTAATGTCATTTGAAATGGTGAGTTATCTTGCTTAGGTTCTCTGCGCTCTCTGTTTCTGAAAATGGATTATCATTCAGGATAAAGTTTTTTTTCGATCTCAACTCTATTGTACACTAAATAGTATTTGGGCCTATGATATTTCGATTTACATTCAGGAACTTGCCGCAAGACTGGGCCTGGCCTTAACGCCATTGAACTGCCAAACATACATGATATTCCTGGTCTGGTATATGTAAAAAAAATATGCATTAGGCGATTTTTTTGATCTCGTTAGCCTGAAACAGCGTGCTGCAATTTTCTGGCTTGTTTGAATTAGCATATAGATCTATATTTAAGTCATTGTGTCTGCTAATAAAATTTTTATTGTCACAATACTAAATAATCATATCTTCTTCTCTTGATACCTTTTCTTTTATAAGCAGAGTTTATTCGTTTATTCATTAAATTATAAGTTAGATGGTTATTTAAAACCTTTTTTTAACCAAGTCATTCTATTACGTTTCTAGAGTATTCTCTCGACAAGATCATCATCGATCTACTTCCGATATAATGACACTGCGTTCTAAAAGAACGGGCAACTTCGTGAGTTTTACTTTTTTTGCTCACCTCATTAAACTTTGATTTTATTCGAAAGCCTTTTAAGCTTTTTTGATCATAAGTCTCATTTAATACTTTTTACTCTACATGGAAATATTGGATTTGAAACGGACGCCCGCTTATTCAAACTAGTAAGACTACTTTTTTATGATTGAGAAGGCATTGATTTAGCCATATAATCTAAGTTTCGTTGTATAAACTATGAATTATTCGAATTAGCTTGTATTAGAAAGAAAGTAACGATCAGATTTCCATCACTCTCCCATACCTTTATTTGTAGGCGCAGATAAAAATACATTTTATTTCTAAAACAAAAAACAGTCTTGTAGATTGAAAGTGGTATTTCATATATATGATGTACGGATAGTCTCCAAACCCTACTTATAAACGAAAAAGAAGTACATGTAGTCGATTATCGTAGCAAATATAATTTTTCTTAATCGACAATACCAACAAATTATGTGATATTGGAAAGTGCCTGCCTTTCCTTTAAATTTTCATTGTTCTGTGACTTAGGGGCACTCTTGGTAATG